TCGGTACAACTTGGTATTTTTCGGTATTACTTGGTATTTGTCTTCAAAGACCAGTATTTCTCGTTATTGTCAAGTAATACCTAGCAATACCGAGCAAATACCGAGTAATACATCGCAATACGCGAATATAGCATTCCCGGGTTCCGATCTAGGTCAAGTCGTCGGACCGCACGGTAAAAAATAAGAGCACGTGGAGATATATTATTGACGGCCGAACTTAGCTCTAGGTCCGGTCAGAGAGGACGTAATAATTGTTCCTTCAACAGGGCAAATTATTGCATCCGATCACTGGACGCGGAAAATAAGTTCGGACATCCAATAAAAATTTGCCGCGTCACTTGTGCTTTTGACTGCGCTTTTTGACTTGTGCTTTAGTTGTGCTTTACCTGCGCTTTAGTTGCGCTTTTGACTGCGCTTTTGACTTGTGCTTTAGTTGCACTTTACCTGCAATTTACCTGCGCTTTAGTTGCGCTTTATTTGCGCTTTAGTTGTGCTTTACATGCGTTTAATTTTAAATAATATTTTATTAATATCCAGAACTATCTCGACATCCGGTGACTTGATGCAATAATTTGCCCTTCAACAGAGGCAGAACTTTGGCTCGCTGTTTGCTCACGTCAAATTATTGGTTCAGGTGACCGGACGCGGAAATTGGTCCGGATATTAATAAAATATTATTTTACATTAAGCGTAGGTAAAGCACAAGTAAAGACACAGGTAAAGCGAAGGTAAAGCACAACTAAAGTGCAAGTAAAGCTCAGGTAAAGCGCAAGTAAAGCGCAAGTCAAAAGCGTAGATGACGCGACAAATTCTCAAGAAGCATAAAAATTTTTCAACATAAAAGGAAATCAATAAAAGTATATAAAGCATGTTCGGGTGCCATAAATCAAAACATACGCCAATTTCCTATCAACTATGTTCATGTCAATGATTTCATCATATATTTTCTAGCAATAATATATGACGTGTAGCCATCTACCTGTATGTCATATCACTATACTATGTTAGTATGTTTATCAACATCTATAAGTGTATCTATTATATGTTACATAATGTTGTATCAATTTTAATGCTAGTTATATTACTTTTATATTAGTCTTATCTATAAATTAGTTCATATGTTATCATGTAAATATAATCATAAATACTATTATGAGTAGAAAGGGAGGACATCCAACTTTAATGTGGTGCTTTTATTTTTTTCATGTTTCATTCACGGGTCTTATCAATTATTCATTATATCATTGATTTATCATCATTACATGTGGCTTTCAATAATATATATTGAGTGGACATTCTCTGCACGTCGACATAATATGTAAATATGCTAATTGGAATTACATCAGAATTCATCTTTAAAAAAGTAGCCGTCAGCCCATCCTCTTGAACATGATATTATATTTTAAGATCTAATTCATATTAATTATAGTGTTGACAGTCAACCAAGCACTCTAGCACTCCCAATCTAATAGTGCATGTCACTACTAAAGTTAGTATAGAACATAGAGCTCAGCGCCACAATGGAGCTTTTCCAACGCTGTTGCGCCCTTAGCGCCACTGCGATCTCAAACAGACAAGCACAATGCTACAACACATCAGTCCAATTTTTTAGAATTTTATTTTAAATTTATTTTTATAAATTTAAAGTTATTAGAATCTACCAATTTTAAAAAATGTCACCCTCGGCATATTTATTATCAATAAAAAAATTCAATGCTAAAATAAAGTCAATATGAGGAAAAACCAAATCAATTCATTAATAAATCTATTTTATTCAAAACAAATCGATATAATTAATTATGCAATCAATAAAATCAAAATAACTAATAATAACTGACTTTATCATTCATTTCAATCAACATATCATTCAATCATATACCATTCAACATTCCATGTAATATCATTCATTTAAATTTGAAGACATGATATTGAGAATTCTACAGGTGGATCCTCCAGGTATATCTCTATCATCCAGCTAAATCAAGCTATAAACTCTAGATTGTATTTGTGCTAGTCTTGGCATAACATAATGCATGGGTTCTCTCTAACTTTCTCTAGCTTCTCCTTCATCGATCATGTTCATGGATTCTTTACTGTATACTATAGATCTAGCAGTCCTCTGTCTATAGCCCTACCTAAACTGCTCTGTTCTAAATCTACATCCTAGTTTCATTGTTGTTATGGAAAATCAACTATCTAATGTCCTCACATTCCACATCTAAAATATTATTCGATCATCAAAAAATATTGCCCAGTATGCCTCCTACCAGGTTGAGAACACTTTTGTACACCCACACTCATCTTAGTACTGCCTATTGTCTGAAGATTTACTTCTCTTTTTATTGTTATCTCTTCTAATCATATCGTCACCTAATATCTTCCTGCTTATATCATGTCTGAATAGTAGTACAACTAAATCATTCTCTATTAATATTGCTCTCTCATCTAGCTCTGAATACTCATGAATGCTTAATGGCACTAGTGAGAGTCTTAATTCATCATTAAGTCCTCTTGAAAATTTGTAACATTTTTCTTTTGTTGTGCTAATTAACTATGAAGCATGCCTTTCAAATAGTAAATTCAACTTCCTATTGCATCACAGTTTGGTCTCCCTACTCCAATCTCATAAAGCCTCATGAATTTGTTGACGGGTTGATGGGGATATAAACTAGTGTTTGAAAATAGTAAAAACTCTGCCTAGGAAATATTTGCATTCATCTTTCTTTAATTTTTTTCTTCTTGATGTCCTATCCACCACCTTTCAGCCTCTCCTTTCAAATAAGAATGTAGCTTCTGGGAATTTCTTATTCTCTGGACATTGTACGTTATTGACTATCTTTTCTATCCACCGCTCCCTTGAATTGTGTGGGATATAACTTATGAAACAATTGCAAATGTCTATCCTCTTATGGCTCCTTATATCCAATTTGCTTACTATGTGCATCACTCATTACATGTGCAAATATATTGGCAAGTTGCATAAAGTTGTCAAAACTCATACGAACTGCTATTGTATTATGTTCATTATGTATATCCTCATTAGTAGGGTACATATGTCTATTGATATAATTCCCTTTCCTAATCAAGCAAACATCAAAATAAAAATGCATACACACATATATAAAATCAATCAAATGAAAAATAAAATATATACTACTCACTTCTACCCCGCTCGTAATCAATCTTAGGGCTTTGGTTACTATTCAATTATTTCAATAACCATTGCTCTGATTACCACTCTATGAAGGCCCATAATCTAAATTAGAAGAATTGTATATTTTCTATCATTTAATTAATATGCCAAATCCATTAATTTCATTTTATATCATTTAATGAAAACATTTGTATGTCAGATTATCTTCCAATATACATAACTAATCAAAATCTATATACAATAACAAGAAGTTCAATCTATAGAATCCATAATATCATCTGCCAATCACATATTGATATAACTTTTTTTTATTGCACTTAAAAAGCTTCTCAACTTCTAGATGCATTAAGAACCAACTCAAGAGTGAAGTCATCATATCATCAACCATTAAATTGAAGATACTTTTAGGTATTAACTACCATAGGATAGAAGTTATCTACGTGTTCTTTATATCATAAATTATTGCTTTAAACTCCAAGGTATATGATGGATCAAAATATCTCACTTGCTTACTAATTTCATATACATCACAACATGTATATTGGATGCTTTAATAATAAAGCATCGATGGAGTTGCCATCATTTGCACCCCATTTATCTGTAACTTAAACTTCTTTTATATTTTGTATGCCCACAACATCATTTCATTTACATCATATATGTCCACAACATCTTCAACTCTTAAATCAACAAAAAATAATGAATGTAATGATCTCACACATCATCATTTGAACTATAATCCGCAGTTGAATTTTTTTTAGGAGTTGTAGTCAGACAAATGGAACACCAGTTTTAAATATATATAGACATCTCATTCAAAAGGAGGGTAACATCAAATTATACATATTACCACTATGAATTTTGCTTAACCAATGCAAAACACCACATCTAGCTTCAAGCTAAATTGGTTCTTACCAAACTCCATAACTAGTGATGAATAGTTCTTGGATGGTACTGAGACATTTGAAATGACGAAATGGTATCATATGGTATTTTTAGCTAGAAATACTTGCAAAAGAGATAAATATAGCAATGACAGAGTCATAAATTTTATTCAGGGGGCCTAAATTAAAATAATTTTATTTGCTGTCTCATTACCAAGATGAGCTGTAAGATCAAAATTAAGAATGTAAGTAATATGACTCTTAGAGCTTAGATGACATCAATATTTGCCACGAGCAGTTTATATTTGAGGGCGAGAGAGGAGTGAAAGGGAAAATTAAAGCCATGCTCGAGGATGTAAGTCGCGAGTCGTGAGAGAGACACAAATGGAAAAACGAAGCAGACCGTTTAGGTCGAGGGATAAAATTTATATGATATTCTTTAAAATATTTTCATTTCAGCTAATTTAAGTGAGTTTCCAATTCAATCAGTTTACGACAATTTAAGCTAAAATTTACTTGTGATTTTTTAAAATAAAGTTTCAATTAAAAGTCAAAGATTTCAACTAAAACTCATGTATTTTTTTAACGATATTTTAATAAAAATATAAAAAAAAGGAAATACATTGATTGCAGAGGACAACACACTTTAAAATATATATAAATAAACATATAGAATGTAATTATATATGCAAAGTTTTACTCTAATAGTACCTCTATGCAACAAGAAAACTCTTGAAAATTTATTTCTTTGCTTGGTAAGGAAACCTCTCTTTCCACTTTGCATGATGGTAATTGGTTAAAGACATATATAACCTCTCTTCCCGTCCACCCCATGAATATAGCAAAGATATCTATAAATAGTTTTTTTTTTTTGCCTTATTTCTCAAAGTAATTATTTTTTAGTTAATAAATTAATAAATAAATATATTAAAATGAGCTATCTGAAATTATTTTCTAACAACTTCAACAGAGGCAGAACTTTGGCTCGCAGTTCGCTCACCCGTCCGCGGGTCCATTTCCGGCCGCCTGTGCACCTGCCATGTCAGTCTTCTGCTCTTTCACCACCATGCACCAGCGCGAGCTCAAGCTATAAACAGGAGATTGTTTATTTCTGTCTCCAGTGGATCGACTCCGTAGATTTCGTCTCTTCATCTACTTGAGATCAGAGGATCGCGTCTCTTGCACCTTCAATAACTTTTTGACGTTCGCGTCACTCATCTTCGGCTACCTGTCCCGCTATCTGTTCTCCCTTGTCCTGTCTCTTCTTGCCCTCCTCCCTTCTCCAATCCCTTTTGCCGCCACTCACTACTAAAATACGCGCTTTTATATCTAGTGTTGAAGAAATTGCAGATCTTTTTCTCATGTCGGCCTCGATTTCTGATTACTTTCTGATTCCGAGTGCCAGAGGTGGAGATTGCCGGCCTTCTTTCGCTCGTAACATTCCGACCAGATGGCGGTATCAGAAGCTCCGCTTTCCGATCGCAGCAACGGCTCCAAAGGAGGTTCTTTGCGTCGATTCCAAGGTTTTTTCATTGACCAATAACGTTTGTTAGGGTTTAAATTTCTTATCGATTTAACAAATTGAGCTTTTATACATACATTTTACGAAGGCTTGAACACCTGTATTTTGAGCGGTGAGCTATGTTTTTGAGCTGCATAGTTACATATTTTACTAAATTGCTGTATTTCGGCTGCTCACATTATTTTCTGTCATTCAATGGAAACAAATATTTTCTGTACAAAATTTCCTCTTTGTTGCATTTCATGTAGGTTTAATCTACAGGTATGCATTTATTTGCATTATGAATGCCTTGATCAAATTCCCGTTAGAAACTCCAACATTGATTAGTTCTTAGAAAAGTTCGTGTGTACTTCCATAAGATTTGTTTTGTTTTATGGGTTTAAGATGCTGGCTGTACCATGAGTCTTTTTTTTGTTTGGCTGCTTGGTTGTGGATTTTAGGTTAAGAATTTATTGGACAGTATAAAATGGGATGAGAAGGGGTTAGTGGTTGCCATTGCTCAGAATGTGGACACTGGAGCTGTTCTAATGCAGGGATTTGCAAACAGGGAAGCTCTTGAAGCTACCTTTTCGTCTCACAAGGCAACTTTCTACAGCCGGTCAAGGTCATCTTTGTGGACAAAAGGGGAGACTTCAAGCAATTACATTAATGTGCTTGACATTTTTCTTGACTGTGATCGTGATTCTGTAAGGCTCATCTGCTATTTAGCATTCTGTAGGATTTTTACTTCTTAGTAAATATAGACAGTTTATTGGTCATCATAGAATTCTCTTGCTTAGGTAATATATCTTGGGAAACCAGATGGCCCTACTTGTCACACTGGTTCAGAAACATGCTACTATACTTCTGTTTTTGATATATTGGAAGATTCACAGGTTTTGCTTCCTTCTCTTCATTCATAATATTCCTCTTGTGTGGTTGTATTACATTTTTCTTCTGTTTCTTGATAAGTACACTGTGACAGAAAAACAAGGAGCGGTTGGCATTAACAACATTGTATTCATTGGAAACTATAATTTCTGAACGAAAACAAGAATTTGAAACAGAGCAAAATAGGAAGCCCTCATGGACTAGGAAGCTTATGCATGATAATGAACTACTTTGTTCTAAGATCAGGTATATTTTTCTTCTTGCATGTTCAAATTACCATATTTTTAACGTGTCGATTTCTTAAAGGCGCAGTCTATTCCAGCCTGAGTAGAAGCATTAATTTAAAAATGCTTTAACTTCATATTGTGGTTTATGTGGGCAACATTAAATTACGTTCTCTTTGTTCTGTTAAATATCTGTGTTAGAGTGACTTACATTTATACAACCCGTCAATATGTAGCACCTTAAATGGACAATTCGGCACTTGCTCGCTTATTGTAGATGGTAAAGCTTGGACTCTGAACTTGCACCTCTAGCCATTAAGCATATCAATATCTTAATGTTGTCAATAATCAGCAAAGCGCAAGGATTTCTTCTCTCTTGTTGAAGAGAAGCTTTCTAGTTGGTTCAGTGCCGACTATCTAACCCCAACTCAAAGGCAGTGTCACATCACAATTCTATTAAGTTGTACTTCATAATTCTTGTTATTTTATCACTGTAATGACCATATATGCCATCATAATTCTACAAAGATGTCTAGGTAGTGAGGATCCTCTACTAAGAAACCGTTTTAGTATTTGCATACTGTATAAGGGTTTTCTATCTCTCTAAAGAATTAGAAATCATTGTAGTATCTGCATCATAATTCTACAAGGATGTCTAGGTGGTGAGATCCTCTATGAAGAAACCATTGTAGCATCTGCATCTTCTCAGTATTCTTGGTTTATCTTTAGGATAGCAGGTTTATGTACAGGTGGTCTGATCCTCTACTAATAAACCACTGTATCATCTGCATTTTGCATAAGGGGCATGCCTATATCTCCAAGGTCTTAGAATGCATCTTCCCGGTATTTCGGTATATGTTTCTGATTGAAGCCTGAAGGCTTTTCTTTACACTTATTGGATGTTGGCAAATTGTAAATTCATGTACAATGCAACTATTCAGGCTCACAGAGTTTTTAATAAAATAATTTAAAAATATATTATAAATTAAACATTATCAATCATTATCTCTACTCAACATATGGAACTGAGCCACTCATATGGAAGGAGTTGCTTATACTTCTGCATTTGAGAAGCTGGATTCAGTTTTTTATGTTGGTTTTTCTTAGCATATTCAAGGCTATGCCATACTATGCATAAATCAATCCATATGATCTCTCTAATTTATATCGATTGCTCTCTAGATTTACGAATATCAATAAACATATCATGCGGGTGAGTTGAAGCTCATTTCTTTAAACATATCATGCGGGTGAGTTGAAGCTCATTTCTTTTTTTTATGTTATCTTTATTTTGAGGGAGCTATTATAAAAATAAATTAGTGTATTAACAAATACATAATTATTTAAGAGTAAATATAAATAATATAATATTTATTATATTAAACTGTTGGAATCATAAGTTATGAACTTGTATTGAGAGTAGTTTCAAGAAATATAAAAGGCATCAAAGTTCCTCCTAATATTTCTTATTTTATGTGTTGTCTGCTTACACGAATTAAACTTGCTTGAAATATTAATGTATAAAATTATAAAAATTTTATGTTATAACTAAAAATTAGAGTAAATGCGGACCTGTCACCCTCTGTAAAAGATACGGTTTGATCTTTTAGAATTGCCCTCACATTTTTGTTCCATTGTTGTAGAAGACTCAACAATGACCCGGTTAGGAGAGTAGATGCATTAGATTTGGCTTATGCTAAGAAAGGTTAGACGTAAGAAGACTTAGAAAATATTAGAAATGACGTTTCTTTATTAGATTTAAATGAGAATTTAAGTTTTAACAGGGCATAATGGAGAAAAAAGATTCATGTAGCCGAACCCATATAGTGGGATAAAGGCTTGATGCTGTTGTTGTTGTTGTTGTAGAAGACTCAACAAAGAAAGGTGGTGTTGGATGAGAATGATAGTTAGGCTATGAATATAAATGGATAGTAGTAAGTAAATTGGCTTATAATGCGATGGTAGCGATGGGTATGAATAAAATGAGGTGGTCCGTGTAGAATTTAGGGAATGAAATGTGGACTATAATCTATTGGATAATGTGCTGGTGGTGTGGTATGCGTTGTGGCTATTGGGCCTATTGGTGATGTCCTCTCCCAATGATTGACCTTAGTGCTGAAGTAGTTTTTTTTTTGTTGGTCGAACATAGAGGTGATATATCTATGAGGAGGCTTATCGTCAACTCCAAATGCCAAATGCATTGAAACTAAGGAATTATCAATTTATATTATAAGATTATATAAAAATATATAAATATAAGAATAAACTATGATGCATGAATATCTATCATCATAATCTTTCGAGTTATTATCATTTGAATTCAAATTTTGTTCATTGCCCTCTTTGTTATCAGGATTTTCATTTGTAAAATTATTAAGATAGTTTTCAATATTATTTTCTTGTAAGTTAATTCTGAAGTCGCTATTAGTAGCAAATTATCTTAATTTTGATATTTCTTCTTCCTAATGAGTAAGCTGTATTATATTTTTATGTTCAAATTTTTATCTCAACTTATTCTTAATTATTATTGAATAATCCTGCTCATTCTACTAGAGTATTGTACGTAACATACAATTTATTTAATGGGCTACCGTGAAATGATCAAATTTCTCTCTCTCTCTCTCTCTCTCTCTCTCTCTCTCACACACACACACACACACACACACACTTATATATATATTATTTTGGTGATTCCACACAGATTATATACTTGTGTCTGGATTTAAAATATGATCAAACTAATCACAATTAACTAAGAATAATTTTTTTTCATTAACCCATGATATTACAACTATATTATTTCTTGTAGAACTATAATAGTCATTTTCATACTCTGTTGTATTCTTTTTAGTATAAACACCGCTACTATGTATTTTTCTTTATTCACATCATAAACTGATATGAAATCTGTATTCATTTACTTGAAAAATAGATCATATTCTCACTGTATTCCTTTGGCCCCGTGTTAGATCATGTAATTCTTGAATTTTAATTATATTTCTGAGTTTCTGAGATCATAAACCTAACATAGTAACATACAATATGAGAGTAAGTCATAATTTTGTAGTCTAATAAAATTATCTTTTTTGTTTGAAATAACCAGAGATTTAGAAAACTTACATACGACTTAAATCATTTTGAAAATTCATCTTCAATTATTTTATTAATGTCACTAGCATCACTGATTGTTAGCGAACCCCAAACAATTTGTGGTTTGATGATGTTTTAAGATGCAATTACATTAGCTACTACCTTATGAGTAATTCAAGTAAAACAATCAAATTTACTCCATGAAATATTAAACTTCTAGACAATTTAGGAGAAAATATAATGTTGCAGTCTTCATTTTTTTATCAGTCAAATATCTTGACACATATTTCTTGATGCCTCGGTATTTAAAAATTTGATAATGATAGTTGATATATTTTTTTATTATCAACATTTTCACGGTATCAAATTCTTGTTCTACTATTTTATATATAGACGTCAAAATAGTCACAACAGAAACGTGCAGTCTCATGTGGTATGTATTCTTTACAAATAAAGCATTTAGGATTGTTTTATTTATTATTTTTTATTTTATTTAAATATTTGCAATGTTATTCACAAATTAGCCTTATCAAATAAACAAATAATTTAAAGTAAAAATAAAATGTTGTACTATATGACTCTTAAATGGATATATACATCAGTACAGAACTGGATTACCAACTATTACCTCATATGATATGTATATTGGTAGGTGTTCCATTAAGTTCAAAAAGGCAGATGAAAATATTTTCTTTAATTTACATAATACATTTAGAATATTCAATTCATTTTGCAACTATACCTCTTCATTTAAACATGTAAAGCATAAATCATTAAAAAATATGGTCTATTCAATCAAATGATTCAATATTAGTTGTGGTAAAGCACTAAATGCAATATATAGTTAAAACCCTATAAGTATACGACAATGAAGACTCTTCATTCTAAATAAGATTTTGGATCTCATATGGTCACCTCTACTTAGATTTGATGTGTATCTATCTTGTGTTTTTAATTATTGAACTCATTCACACGCTGCTTTTCGTGGATCCAACATGATTGAATATGTAGCTCACCTCTTTCTTGAAAATGAAAATATATTATTTTGTAATACTCTTTTATATTTATTATTACTTTCAAATTAACTTTTATTTTGCCCTTTATATCCATCACACTATTAAATATATCAAAGATTTTCTTTTCAATATAAATCACCTCTAGATTGTTTTGGGTTAAATTTATCTTTTAATAAAGCAGATCTCAAAAATACTGATGTGGCTTATCCTAGTCCTGCGAATCATGTGAACGGCCACAGCATATTCCCTTACAACCTGCGAACTCCACTACTTACCTAGTTTTCACTTTATGCTTTTTACCGTTTTTATTTCCTGTCAATTGCCAGTTAGTGGCCAGCTCATCCCTCTCTTATAACTATTTTCCCTAGTAGTGCTTAGTGGTATATCTGTAGTGAAGAAGACGGATAGAGGTAGAAAAGATGAATACAAGTATTTGAAGCTTTCTCCTCCTCCTTCCTCTGTTATTCTCTTCCTCTTCTCCACTGTTCCTCTATTTCACTGTTCTATTTTCCTCTGTTCTCTGTGTTCTTTTGCAGGTTAGTAGCGGTTTCCACACCAACTGGTATCAGAGCTCGGTCTCGAGTATAATGGCGGAAGGAAGCAAGCGGCCGGCAGCCGAAGAAGATCGCAGCTTAGAGGCCATGTGGACAATGCAAACTAGCATTGTTCGTCAACTGGAAACTCTTACCGCGGAGTTTTTCAGATTTTCTACGGAGATGAAGACCGAGATTCGATCCCTGAGGACGAATCGACCACCACCGACGGTTGACAGACCAGTTGCGCCGGCAACCACACCGGCACTGCGTCCGCGTTTTGGCCGTCGCCTCCACGCGCCGATTCCACCTGTATCGGACTCTGACGAAGAAACAGATTGGCAACAACCATTGGAAGCATCGGACTCGGCGGAAGAGGATAGACAGAACTACTATGAACAACCCCGACGATATCCCGCACCCCCGCGGCAGCAAGGTGAATTTCGCATTAAGCTTGACATTCCTTTTTTTGACGGACGACTACACATCGAAGACTATTTGGATTGGGAACGATCCGTCGAAGCTTTCTTCGACTACATGGAGATAGCACCTGAAAAACAAGTCAAATACGTTGCCTGTCGTCTGAAAGGAGGGGCAGGAGCGTGGTGGATGCAGCTCTTACAGTCCAGAAGGCGCGAAGGAAAAGGAAACGTCACTAGTTGGTATCGAATGAAGCGGCTGTTGAGGGGACACTTCTTACCAACTGATTTTGAGCAAATGCTCTACCTCCAATACCAACATTGTGCACAAGGTACACGGACTGTAAGCGAATACACCGAGGAATTTTATAGGCTAAGTGCCCGAAATAACCTGAGTGAGTCCGAGACTCAGCTAGTCGCACGGTATATTGGAGGTTTGAAGGAAGCTATTCAGGATAAACTTGAGATGAATTCCGTTTGGACACTGTCACAAGCAGTGAATTATGCCCTTAAAGCTGAAATCCAGCTTAATCGGCATCCAAAAGGCAGTAGCAATCGACGCTTCATTGTGGAGTCCAGTGGGGATGTGAACAAACCCCACACTGCCAGTGGGAACAAACCGGTCGCTCCACAGACTAGTGGCGCGGGAATTTTGGGTGCAGAACCGAAGCCTCCGTTTGTCAACCGAGTGAGAACTCCGGGAAAGGATAACAATCCGTATGCTAGACCGACAACAATCAAATGTTATCGCTGCTTCCAGGTCGGACACAAGTCCAACGATTGTCCCAATCGCCAACAAGTTCAAGTGCTTGAAGGAGAATTGGAAGACGAACATCTTAATGCGGAGCTAGTAAATGAGCAAGACTTTGAGGACCTCCAAGCGGATGATGGTGAACCGGTAGCTTGTGTTCTGCAAAAGCTGTTAATTGCTCCCCGACAGGTCATAAAATCCCAGCGAAATTCCATTTTCCGCACTCGTTGCACAATCAATGGCAGCGTTTGCGATGTGTTGATCGACAGCGGGTGTACGGAGAACATTATCTCGAAGGCCGTAGTTCAAAAGCTACATCTCAAGACTACCCGCAATCCAAATCCTTATAAGATAAGCTGGGTAAAGAAGGGCG